ACGGCCGACTTGAGAAAAAAAAAAAATTTACTGAGTATACCAGGAAAAGTGTATGATAGGGTTATTAATGAAAGAATTAGAGGTAAGACAGAGAGTAGGATTGTGGATGAGCAAGGCAGCTTTAGAGTGAGTAAGGGATATGTAAATCAGGTGTTCACATTGAAACACACATGTGAACAGTATTTAGATAAAGGTAGGGAAGTTTTTATTGCATTCATGGATTTAGGAAAGGCATATGATAGAGTGGATAGGGGAGCAGTGAGGTAGATGTTGCAGGTATATGGAATAGGTGGTAAGTTACTAAATGCCGTGAAGAGTTTTTATGAGGATAGTGAGGCTCAGGTTAGGGTGCGTAGAAGAGAGGGAAACTACTTTCCCTTAAAAGTAGGTCTTAGACAGGGATGTGTAATGTCACCATGGTTGTTTTTTATATTTATTGATGGGGTTGTAAAAGAAGTAAATGCTAGAGTGTTGGGGAGAGGGGTGAGATTAAATTATGGGGAATCAAATGCAAAATGGGAGTTGACACAGTTACTTTTTGTTGATATTGTGCTTATGGGAGATTTTAAAGAAAAATTGCAAAGGTTAGTGGATGTGTTTGGGAGTGTGTGTAAAGGTAGAAAGTTGAAAGTGAACATAGATTAGAGTAAGGTGATGAGTGTATCAAATGATTTAGATAAAGAAAAATTGGATATCATATTGGAGAGGGGGAGTATGGATGAAGTGAATGTTTTCAGGTATTTGGGAATTGACGTATCAGCGGATGGTTTATGAAGGATGAGGTTAACCATAGAATTTATGAAGGAAACAAGGCGAGTGGTGCGATGAGCTATATGTGGAGACAACGTTATCTATGGAGGCAAAGAAGAGAATGTGTAAAAGTATAGTGGTACCAACACTCTTGTATGAGTGTGAAGCTTGGGCTGTAAATGCTGCAGTGAGGAGGCAGTGGAGATGTCCTGTCTAAGGGTATTGTACGGCGTAAATATTATGCAGAAAATTCAGAGTGTGGAAATTAGGAGGTGTGGAGGTAATAAAAGTATTAGTCAGAGGGCTGAAGAGGGGTTGTTGAGGTGATTTTGTCATTTAGAGAGAATGGATCAAAGTAGAATGACATGAAGAGCGTATAAATCTGTAGGGGAAGGAAGGCGGGGTAGGGGTCATCGTCAAAAAGGTTGAAGGGATGGGATAAAGGAGGTTTTGTGGGCGAGGGGCTTTGACTTCCAGCAAGCGTGCATGAGCATGTTAGATAGGAGTGAATGGAGACAAATGGTTTTTGGGACCTGACAAGCTGTTGGAGTGTGAGCTGGGTAATATTTAGTGAAGGGATTCAGGAAACCAGTTACAGTACTTTTATATAGCTGGACTTGAGTGCTGGAAATGGGAAGCACAATGCCTGCACTTTAAGCTGTCTCTCTGATTACCTGTTTTCTGCCTCTCAAGCAACCTGTCCCTATTCAATTCCTCTTAATATTTTGTATGTTATTTCTATCACAAAACACACCCTGTCGGGCCAGCATTCCATCTCCCAACATGACAGGAGCCTGTTTTGAGAGTTGTGACAAAATTTCATGCCTTGGCATGATAGTAGCTTTCTTTGCACTTAGAAAATCAGTATTGTAATTACACATAGTAAACTATGCATGGAAATAGACTCCTTATAACTTGTCAGTCAGAGATTGTAAATTTTGCAAAGAAATATAAATTTGAACTTGAATTTGATTTACGTCTAACCAGACAAGGCAAAGACTCGATGATAAAAACTAGCTTGGCTCGTGACCAGGCTCCAGGAGTCAAAAAATTGAGAACTCATCGAAGGTACAACTATGGTAGATTGCTGCCAGAATAATGGACCACCGTAGTACTACACAGTTAAAAAACATTGGAGGAGGATTAACAGTAGCAGTCTAACAGGGCCATGGATAAACATGGTGTGTGGGCAAGATACAGAGGCTGTCAGAATATCTGGCTTCTGCTTACATTAATAGTCCTGCCCAGGGACCAACTTGCATGGTCTGTAGCAGAGGTAAGTATGTCAGGGACCATACATAGCACTGCTCAGGGATTAACTTGCACAACAAGTCAGGAATCATGCTCGTGTGCTTCTGCTCAGGTACCGATTTGCATGGGCCACAGCAGAGACCAGTATGCCGGAATGGTATACACGTACTCCTGCTTGAATACTAACTGCCACAGTCTGTAGCAGAGGCCAGTATGACAGGGATTATATGCATGTACTCTTGAACAGGGATTAGCGTACAAAGGCACTTCTGCTCAGGGACCAGCTTGCATGTAGGAGAGGCCAGTATATTGAGGCAAGCTTAGTCATTCCTACTCAAGGACTAAGAGGAGAAAGTTAGACTGAAGTTATGCTGTTTGAGAGCACTGTGGTGTGAATATTATGGAGAGAATTTAGATTGTAAACAGGAGATTGGGGTTCACCACATATGTAATACAGAAGGCTAATGATGGGTTATTGAGGTAGTTTAGGCATTGGCAGAGGATGGAAAGGAATAGGATAATGGTGTATATAGGTGGGGGTGGAACGTAAGAGGGGTAGGGTTTGTCCCAGGAATGAAAATGAAAAATGAAAATTATTTCCTTGCAAAGCTTACAATGTGTGGTTTAAATCTTTTTTTTTTTTTTTCCAACAAGTTGGCCGTCTCCCACCATAAGATAGTAATTACAAAGAAAGCCACTAGCATGTCTAGGCATTTTGGGCAGACTAATCCTAATTCTTACTGACTATTCTGTATTTACACAGGTTAATATTAATTTTAATATTCATTATTGCATAATAGTATAAAAGTTAGATAATTAAAAAGTTTATCATTAATAAGATTGATAACAGTGAGTTAGTACAAAAATTATAACAGTATTACAATTAGTATAATTTTGTAATGGGAATGGTTTTATCTCGGCTTGATACGCTGTTTCTATAGTCAAAAGCTTCTATATTGGCAGAGTATTTCAGGCAGATTTAGGACTAACTTAAGATTAGGAATTTTATGTTTATGGTCAGTTAGGTGAGTGTAAGTATAAAATTGATTGGAGGGAAGTTTTTTTTTAAACTTGGTGTTGGGGCTGGAGCATCTAACAGGTTTGTGTGAGTGGTTTTTAATGGATGTGCTGTTGGAGTGTAAGCTAGATAACATTTATGAAGGGATTCAGGGGTGGGCAGGGTACGTACTACTTTGAAGTGGTGGGGATGTTGCAGTTTGAAGTCATCTGAATTGTAATGTCAGCACCTCTGGCAAGACAGTAATTGAATATTTTATTTGGGGGGGGGGGAGGACAATGATAAAAGAGTGCAGAAGAGAGAGAGTTGATAAAATTTTGTATATTGAAATTTTCTAGTAGTTGTGTTCTTGGTTCTCACTAAGTTACAGTTGATAGGAAATTACTAGTCTGACATACTTAGTTACCTTGTTATTCTTTTACATTTTTTTTTTTTTTTTTTTCAACAAGTCGGCCATCTCCCACCAAGGCAGGGTGACCCAAAAAAGAAAGAAAATCCCCCAAAAGAAAATACTTTCATCATCATTCAACACTTTCACCACACTCGCACATTATCACTGTTTTTGCAGAGGTGCTCAGAATACAACAGTCTAGAAGCATACACATATAAAGATACACAACATATCCCTCCAAACTGCCAATATCCCAAACCCCTCCTTTAAAGTGCAGGCATTGTACTTCCCATTTCCAGGACTCAAGTCCGACTATATGAAAATAACCGGTTTCCCTGAATCCCTTCACTAAATATTACCCTGCTCACACTCCAACAGATCGTCAGGTCCCAAGTACCATTCGTCTCCATTCACTCCTATCTAACACGCTCACGCATGCTTGCTGGAAGTCCAAGCCCCTTACCCACAAAACCTCCTTTACCCCCTCTCTCCAACCCTTTCGAGGACGACCCCTACCCCGCCTTCCTTCCCCTATAGATTTATATGCTTTCCATGTCATTCTACTTTGATCCATTCTCTCTAAATGACCAAACCACCTCAACAACCCCTCTTCTGCCCTCTGACTAATACTTTTATTAACTCCACACCTTCTCCTAATTTCCACACTCCGAATTTTCTGCATAATATTTACACCACACATTGCCCTTAAACAGGACATCTCCACTGCCTCCAACCGTCTCCTCGCTGCTACATTTACCACCCAAGCTTCACACCCATATAAGAGTGTTGGTACTACTATACTTTCATACATTCCCTTCTTTGCCTCCATAGATAACGTTTTTTGACTCCACATATACCTCAACGCACCACTCACCTTTTTTCCCTCATCAATTCTATGATTAACCTCATCCTTCATAAATCCATCCGCCGACACGTCAACTCCCAAGTATCTGAAAACATTCACTTCTTCCATACTCCTCCTCCCCAATTTGATATCCAATTTTTCTTTATCTAAATTATTTGACACCCTCATCACCTTACTCTTTTCTATGTTCACTTTCAACTTTCTACCTTTACACACATTCCCAAACTCATCCACTAACCTTTGCAATTTTTCTTTAGAATCTCCCATAAGCACAGTATCATCAGCAAAAAGTAACTGTGTCAATTCCCATTTTGAATTTGATTCCCCATAATTTAATCCCACCCCTCTCCCAAACACCCTAGCATTTACTTCCTTTACAACCCCATCTATAAATATATTAAACAACCATGGTGACATTACACATCCCTGTCTAAGACCTACTTTTACCGGGAAGTAGTACAACATATATTAAGAAAAAAAAAGGTACTTGAGCCAAGGCTAATGATAGTAAAATAAATGTAGTTAACACTTTTCACTTAAGCAGTGTATAAATAACATCCCATGTTTTAAGTGGGAATGTTGATGGCAGAATATAAAATAAACGGTTAAGGAAATAAGTAAAAACAATTAAAAGCTTTATTCATTGGAGGTGTTGGTAGAGGATGATTGGTGCTGTGTTGTAGCTGTAGTCAGCAAGAAACTACTTTGATTTTATGACATTACAGGAAAAGAAAGCTGACAAAGAAAATCAAGAAGATAGCAACCAAGAAATAGTGCAAGATGATAAGAATGAAACAAATGATGGTGAATCTGCAGAAAAGGATAGCAGTGAAGATGAGGAAGATGAGAATGAAGAAGTAATAGATGAAGGTGAAGAAGAAATGGACACAAACACACCTGCTGCTAATAAGAAATCTGAGGAGGAGGAGCAGCAGCAGGAGGAGGATGAATGTGTTGTCAGTATGACAGATAAATTGGTAAGTTGAGTAATCTGTTTTGCAAGTTTTGGTAGTTTGTATTTAGTGTACTTCATACATCCCCCTTGCTTGCAGAGGAGTTGATCAGGCTCCTGTTATTTAATTCTAACCATTTAGGCACTTATAATTTAGTTGTTTAATTTTTCACAAGCTTGACTTCACTTTCTTATAACCCCCTTATTTTTTTTTTAGATCTAACTTATACTACTACTAGGTAGTAGGTTGGTAGACAGCAACCATCCAGGGAGGTACTACTGGCCTACCAAGTGAGTGTAAAAGGGAAGCCTGTAATTGTTTTACATAATGGAAGGATTTCCAGTGTCTTTTTTGTCTTGTAAACATGCAAGATTTCAGGTACGTCTTGCTGCTTTTACTTACACTTAGGTCACACTACACATACATGTACAAGAAAGTATATATACACACCCCTGTGGGTTTTCCTCTATTTTCTTAATAGTTCTTGTTCTTGTTTATTTCCTCTTGTCTCCATGGGGAAGTGGAACAGAATTCTTCCTCCGTAAGTCGTGCATGTTGTAAGAGGCTACTAAATGCTGGGAGCAGTGGGTTAGTAACTCTTTCTCCTGTATATATTACTAAAGTTTAAAAGAGAGACTTTCGTTTTTCTTTTCTGAGCCACTCTACCTCGGTGGGATACGTCTGGTTTGTTGAAAGAACAACAACTTGTACTACTGTACTATTAAATGTTTGTCAACCTTTAAAAATTAAATGCATTATAATTAATACACTTGAAAAATGTCTTAGCCTTATTATCACATGGTAAAAGAATTCTCTATGAATTCAAATCGAAAATGAACTGGAGTGCCAAAGTTTGCTTAACTTATTGATTTTTGTGTCAATTAATATTGCTTCTAATTTTTCTGCTATAGCACATTGGGTGTCTGGTATGTGGGCAATGATCAGGGTGATCTAAACCTGTTTAGGTATGTACTATGGCATCTATTGATGCAGAAAGTTCATGCATGCACTGTCTGCCATTATTCTCTATTTTTGCTGAATGTGAAATGTTTTATGGGTTCTTGTTCATGTATTTCAACTTATTTGGGGTTCCAGTTCTCCATTTTATATTTCTGTATAGTGTTTATCTTGAATCAAGCGCTTATTCTTGTTTGGTATCTTGGCAGTATCTACATACAATGGTCTCCTGACCTACTATATTAATCCTTTCCTGAGAGCCCATCGTAAGATGAAATGATCGTAGGTTGAATTAATTTTCCCCATAAGAAATAATGGAAATCAAATTAATTCGTGCAAGACATTCAAAAGTATGAAAAAAAAATGTTACCACATGAAATACATTTTCTACTGTACTCTACTAAAAGAAGAATAAATTACACTTACCTTTATTGAAGATGCAGCAATGACTGTTGAGACACTGTGTCCTGGGAGTGTCTTTTTCTCCTGAGTAATGTAAGTCCTGTTTGGCATTTTCTTTCAGAACAGGCCTTATCACACTGTGTATGCCACTACGATTCTTAAATCTTTCAAGCCAACCTTTGCTGGCCTTAAATTCACCAATATGAGCACTAGTTCCTGTTCACCTGGGTGTTAGTTGACTGATGTGGGTCGCATCCTGGGAAACAAGATTAAGGACCCCAATGGAAATAAGTTAGTCTTCAATGACACACTGACTTTTTTTGGGTTATCCTGGGTGGCTAACCCTCTGGGGTTAATTGTTTCTCAGTATTCTCGATAAGCCACACCAACAACGGTGCTACAGCAGCAGCAGCAATTGACTGTGCTACAGCAGCAGCAGCTGATGGTGCTACAGCAGCAGCAGCTGACAGTGCTACAGCAGCAGCAGCAGCTGATGGTGCTACAGCAGCAGCAGCAGCAGCTGACGGTGCTACAGCAGCAGCAGCAGCTGACGGTGCTACAGCAGCAGCACCAGCTGACGGTGCTGCAGCAGCAGCTGACGGTGATGCAGCAGCAGCTGACAGTGCTACAGCAGCAGCAGCTGACGGCGCTACAGCAGCAGCTGACGGCGCTACAGCAGCAGCTGGCGGTGCTACAGCAGGAGAAGCAGCAGCTGACCGTGGTACGATAGTATTTTGATAATATTTCTCACCCTTTTTACCACAGGGTTGGCACTAGAAGCTTTCTTTGGGCTCATGGTTGCTTATTTAGCAGTTACAAGCACTAAAAACACTGGAATAATACAGAATATTCCGAATGTATGCTTGGGAGCGACCTCTCTGGCTTGTAAACATTGGCACACTAACTGAAGGCAGGCCAGCTGAGGCGCGCTCAGGCAGACAGACATGTGGATGCATACCGGATGAATGCTGTAGGTAGAGTTTTTCAACGTACGTCGGGGTCAAATTTTTACACTGAAAAACATTGTAGGTCGGTTTTAACGTAGGTTTGGGACATAATACATCGGGGGTCCACTGTATTTTGTTATTGTATTTCAGGCTGAGTCTTACATTGTGTGGAGAGATGTATAAGCACAAACACCCTCGAGCTTTTTGATCTGTAGTCCTACTTTGCTGTTATTGAAGTTATTGCAGTCTTGCATTTCTTTGAATCTAAAATTCCTCAGGGAAGATTATATATTTAGTTGTCTTAATTTCTTTTTAGTATGGTAACATTTGTATGTTCCTTCTCCATCATATAGCTTACTGATATCATTTTGAGAGGTCTTCTTTTATATACATTACTTTGCTGTGTGTTCTTCATGGTTGCCCGCTATATATAAATAATGGTCAACATTTGTTTTCTGGCCAGTGATATTACACTTATTTTAGGGTAAGTTAGTGGTGCTGATTCTGAATGTCATCAGTTTTGCTTGATTGGCTCTAGTTTTTCATAAATTTGTTATCCCATTGAAAAACATAAAAGATCATCTTTCAACAAACCAGCCATATCCCACCAAGGCAGGGTGGCCCAAAAAGAAAAACAAAAGTTTCTCTTTTTAAATTTAGTAATTTATACAGGAGAAGGGGTTACTAGCCCCTTGCTCCCGGCATTTTAGTCGCCTCTTACAACACACATGGCTTACGGAGGAAGAATTCTGTTCCACTTCCCCATGGAGATAAGAGGAAATAAATAAGAGTAAGAACTAGAAAGAAAAGAGCAGAAATCCCAGAGGGGTGTGTGCATATATATGCTTGTACATGTATGTGTAGTGTGACCTAAGTGTAAGTAGAAGTAGCAAGACGTACCTGAAATCTTGCATGTTTGAGGCAGAAAAAAGGACACCAGCAATCCTACCATCATGTAAAACAATTACAGGCTTTCGTTTTACACTCACTTGGCAGGATGGTAGTACATCCCTGGGCGGTTGCTGTCTACCAACCTACTACCTAGGAAACATAAAAGATGTGAAAAGTATATTGATCAGGTGGGGCTAACTTCCAAATAGCATTGAAATTATTTTTTAGATCGTGCAAAAGTCAAATCATGTAATGCATACTAGCACTTCATTCTATATAATAACAGATTAACATAGCTAAATAATTCAAATACCACTAATTACTGCATATTAATATGTTGTTTTTATGAATATTCTTCTATGTTGGTCATCAGCACAGTCCTTTGGAGGCTTCAGCAATAGTCTGCCATTATGTGCACGTCTTATTGACCTCTACCCTTGTGGCTTAGCGCTTCTTTTTGATTATAATAATATAATAATAATTATTGCCCTCTATGCCTTTCCTCCATCACCTTTATATCTTGATAGACCCTCTTCCCTTGTTCCTCACTGACCTCATCAAGATTGAGATTGTGGAAATTTGTCTAGGTGACTAGAGAAAGTGCAAATGTATGTTCATAAAGCCTGTCGGCATGTTTTGCACCAGTTCTTCTTCATTGTCTGCTCTGTGATTGGCCAAGAAGTTCCTGACAACTGACACATGACAGCACCATGCACATACTATAACACTATTTGCACTTTTTGTGAAATTAGAATCCTTGATAAGCTTTCAAATTTGAGGACCATCAAAGATTCTAGCTTTCAGTTTTTCCATACTTAGTCCAGGAAATGATTTACAAATGTTTTTGAAGCAACTGCCATCTTTGTCCAAGGTCTTAATGAACTGCTTCATTAGCCCAACTTGATGTGGAGTGGTAGCAGAATGTTATTCCTGTCAACCAATGGCTTGTTAATGATGTTGGCTGCACCTACAGTCATGTTTTCTCTTGAAGACCATTTCACTTTTGTTCAATGATCTGCCTTTGCCCTTCTGTCCCACTTGCCCAAGCAAGTTTACCATCTTCAGATCAACACAAATATACATCTTGTGCTCATGATAGCAAAGCTTCTGCAATACTATTTTGATATTTTTTTATTCTTAAGTTTTTCTGAGTGAGTAATTAGAAGAGATGCATTTTGGTTACCATTGTGCAATAAAACATTTCAAGCTTCTAATGGAGCTGTCCATAAACAGCTTCCAATCTCCTGGTCACTGTTCAAGTCCCATTCGAAGATGTTCAGGGATGTTATTGCAGTATACAAGTTCTTCGTCTTGGCTGAAGTAGCAAGAGTTCAGCCTCTCTTGTCTGATAAACTGTTACTTTAATGTCTTGTTGTGGACAGTTCTTGTTTTTTAGTCTGGATGATAAAAGTTCAGATGCTTACTTTGACAGACCGAGGTCATGTATCAGATCATTGAATTCCTCTTGGGAGAAGTGCTGGATGTTGAAATGCTTACTTCATATTCACTTCCACTGCTGTCACCTGTGTTACATCCTAAACCCTGAGTTTCTTCAACATCTGACAACAGAAGATCAGATATTATTGTAAACACTGGTATGGAAATGTCTTAGCTGTGTGGCACAGGACTCCTATTCCCACTTGACTTTCTTGTATTGATTGAAGCTTTCACATTTAACATACAGAAATAACAATCATTGTGATGATTTTTCGGCTCTCTTCATACCATAGGCACACCTATGTTTTTCCTTTGCTTGTTTTTTCCACTGTGGTAAACATTTTACTCAGGTTTTGGAAACCATATTGGGAGCCCAAGATTTGTCTTGTT